CGCTCACACATACGTAACTCAGTCTGCCTCTGTTACTTGTTCAGTGAGCAATACTCCGTGCATTCATCCGAAACATTTCGTAATAATCCATTGTTTTTTGTGCTTGTTTATTGAGTGTGACTGTGAAATAAGCCACCATGGGGCCAAAGAAAGTTCCTAGTGCCAGCCCTTTTGTAAAGATAGAATTCAAGAAAGAGCTTGTAACAAAATACGAAAGTATGTATTGCATGTATTGCAAGTCCAAATCAACAATCAGTTCCATCCTCGCGAAGAAAGTAGAAATCAAGGAAGCTGATGTTGTGAAAGGGGTAAATATGCTAAAGAAACAAAGATCACAAACAATCAAAGATGTGGAGAAGTTGTTGTTGGTGTGGATCAAAGCCAACAAGAGTCTTCAGTAAAGGTATGTAACAGTAATTTAAATGTTCATTTATCCATTAAAATTAGTCTTTTATATTTATTTCTCATTGTTTTCTGTATGTAAACATATAGTTATTCTCTATAAAATGTATTTTTTGTTAATATTTTTGTGCGTCTGGAATGGATTAATTGGATTTACATTATTTCTTATGGGAAATATTACTTCAGTTTTCATCCATTTTGGATTTCAACAGACCTTCTGGAACGGATTAAAGATGAAAATTGGGGTTCCGCTGTATTGTTATTCTTCTCTTCTTTCAACAAAGTGGCTGTATCCCACTGAGGCAGGGTGGCCCAAAAAGAAAAAAACAAGTTTCTATTCTTAACTTTAGTAATGTATACAGGAGAAGAGGTTACTAACCCCTTGCTCCCAGCATTTTAATTACCTCTTACAGCACGCATGGCTTACAGAGGAAGAATTCTGTCCCACTTTCCTATGGAGATAAGAAATAAACAAGAACAAGAACAACTAACAAGAAAATAGAAGAAAACCCACAGGGGGGGTGTATATATACAGTGGTCCCTCAATAATCGTCCATAATCCGTTCCTGGAAGTGGGACTATTATCGAAATGGATGATTTACGAATCAATTTTTCCCCATAAGAAATAATGTAAATTCAATTAATCCGTTCCTGACACCCAGAAGTATTAAAACAAAAAATTTTTTTACATGAAATATAGATGTAGTACATAAACAATACAGTGGCACATGATGAATTAAACATTAACAGAATAACACTTACCTTTATTGGCGATTCTTCATTGTGTATGGAAGACTGGAGAAGGAGACAGATTGGATGATTTACTGTTTGGAAGAGGACCAATTGCTTTTCTGGGGTTACTTCTCTTCTGTTTCTTAATGCCACTAGGACCACCTTGAGAGTCACTAGAGTCCTGTCTCGCAAAAAAACTGTCCAGAGAGCTCTGTTTCTGGCGTCTCTTTAAAACTTCCCTAAAATGGGCCAAGACTCTGTCACTGTACAAGTTGCCGATATGGCTTGCAACATCCTTCTCTGGGTGATGTTTCTCCATAAATCTTTCCATCCTACCCTTTTTCTTGGCTATGATGGAAGATATGGTTGTACGGGATTTGTTATACATCCTGGCCAGTTCGCCCACACATACGCCACTATCATATTGTTCAATGATGTTTTTCTTAAATTCAATCGTATTTCTCACCTTCTTTACCAAAGGCTTGGCACTAGGAGCTTTCTTTGGAGCCATGGTAGCTTATTTAGCACTTAAATAACTTGCAAGCACTAAAATAAATGGAATATTATGAAATATTTCGCTGGAGCACGTAAGGGGACCGTCACTCACTGGTAAACAATGGCACACTGGCTGGGAAGGAAAGGCCGAGGCAACTCAGAGCATGAGTACGCGTCCGGGACGAAGGACTATTAGCGAGTTACCGGACAATTTGCGAGCCAATATTTTGACGAAAAAACAGGACTATTTCCGAAATGGATGACTTTCAGGCCGGACGATTATTGAAGGACCACTGTATATGCATGTGTAGTGTGACCTAAGTGAAAGTAGAAGTAGCAAGACGTACCTGAAATCTTGCATGTTTATGAGACAGAAAAAAAGACACCAGCAATCTTACCATCATGTAAAACAACGACAGGTTTCCGTTTTACACTCACATGGCAGGACGGTAGTACCTCCCTGGTGGTTGCTGTCTACCAACCTACTACCTAGGAATTATTATTATTATTATTATAAAGGGGGAAAATGTCACTAAATAAGCAGTATAACAACTCAGGGTATCTGCATGTCATATTTAAAGTACTCAACTGACATTCTACCATTTCAGATATTGTATATACCCATTATTATTACTATAATCATAGGGAAGCACCAAACCTGCATGGGTCACAGAACCTGAGGAATGGGAAACAATTTTGATCCCAAGAAAGGAAGGGCAGCTCAAATTCCCATAATCAAGAGCCTTTCAACTTCGTCAAGGGTTAGCATTAAGTAGTGACAAGTATAAAATATAGAAATATTAGTTCTAGTAAAACCAAATCTTAACATCCAATGTAAGCAAAAACTACCCAAAGCATCATCACTTATGCATTAAAAAACATCTGCAGCTCAATGAGCTTAGTTTCACTTACCTTTACAATAACATGCAGGGATAAAGATCTGAGAAACAGTTCCAACCCCCCCTAAAACAATCATGAAGGATCTTCACTGGCTAATTTCAACAGGAACTTTGTTTTATGAACTTACTCTAGTTTCTGTTTTAAGTTTCAAGACAATGTAAAAATACTTTCTCAATATAGTATGGAAATTACAGAGTACAGCGGTACCTTGGGATATGAACTTAATTCATTCCAGAAGGCTATTCGAGTGCCAGTACCGAACGAATTTGTTCCCATAGGGAATAATGTAAATTACCTTAATCCATTTCAAACCCCCAAAAATACACTTACAAAAGCACTTACATAAATACATTTACATGATCGTTTGAGTTTTGAGCTGTTTGTATCCTGAAGTACCACTGTATAGCACAAAATAGGAAAAATAAATGGAACAAAACCATAAAGCATTCTTAACCTGTAAATGGTCCAAACATATATATATACGTTCTCTCCTGTAGTGCCCCAACTTTTTTGAGAAAAAAAAAAAATAGTTTTTTTTAATAGGAAAAAAGAGCATATGGTACCCAGGCATCCCCAATTATTTTAATATGGTGCACAGTGAGTGCGCACACCCATTCTCTCATGTCTAGGCGACTCAGGCTTATAGTGGTAATGTTGAATATATATATATACGTTTGGGGCACTAGCAGTAAAAACATATATATACGTTTGGACCGTTTACGGGTTAAATATTAATATGTAAAAAATTTATGAAATACCTCTACTGTATGTACACTGCTATAAAAAGTTTTCTTTAACCCATGAACGGTTCAAACGTATATATATGTTCTCTCACCCAGCACCCCAAATATTTTGAAAAAAAAAAAAAAAAAAAAAAAAACTTTTTTTTTTAAGTATACAGAAATAAAGAGCGCAATTATTACAGGAAAAGGGGTTACTAGCCCATTGTTCCCGGGATTTTAGTTGACTTTTACAGCATGCATGACTTACGGAGGAAAGATTCTTATTCCACTTCCCCATGGATATAAAAGGAAAAGTAATAAGACCAAGAACTATTAAGATAAAATCAAAGAAAACTCAGACGAGTGTGTATAAATAAACATGTACATGTATTTGTAGTGTGACCTAAGTGTAAGTAGAAGTAGCAAGACGTACCTGAAATCTTGCATGTTTATGAGACAGAAAAAAGACACCAGCAATCCTACCATCATGCAAAACAATTACAGGTTTCCGTTTTACACTCACTTGGCAGGACGGTAGTACCTCCCTAATAATAATAATAAGTTCCCTTGAAGCATGATGTAAGACAAGTGTCGGTCCACTGCTGACAGTGCAGTGACAAGATAAGATAACATAAGATAAGTGGTGACATTTGATGAATGTCCATGGCCATCTCTTTATTTGTTTTCACTGTTACACATAAACATGTCTGTCTGATGTCTATCTGTCTGTCTGTCAAGCTCTCTGTATATAAACCATACCCCGGCCGGGACTGAACCCGCGGTCAGAGAGTCAAAACTCCAGACCGTTGCGTTAGCTACTAGACCAGCTAGCCACAATAAGATTCGTCCAACTAGGTATATTTCTACACCATAGGAAGGTTAGCATAGGCACCACTGTGACCACAAATGCAAGTTTTTACAGACGAATCTCCAGCTAGCGTGGCCATGACGAACTCTAGCTCAAGTCCCCTCACTGCCGTCAACATGACTCACGAAATCGTAATGACACGATTGCAAACAAACCATGGGGTATGGTTTGTTTGCAATCATGTCATTACAATTTCGTGAGTCATCTCTCTGTATATCTCTGTCTCTGCTTATCTGTCTGTCTGCTTGTGTGTCTGTCTGCTTGTCTCTCTTTCTGTCTCTCTGTTTGTCAGCCAGCAGCCGGCCAACCAGTTGGCCAGCCAGCCAGCTAGCTATGCAGCTACCCAGTCAGCTTGCCAAACAGGTATTACACATTCCAGAATTGTTTCTCTTTACTTAGGGCATAGGTTATAAGACATTCTGAAAGGGTGTTGCACAAATGTTGCACATGGGTTATTATCGAGGTTTTTTATATTTCCTCGACTATTTATGGCTACATCCACCTCAAAGCCACTATACTAAGGGTCAACATCACTTTCCTCTTAAAATGGGAGTGTTAATACTACATGAAATTGGTGAATCCCAGGTGTTTGCCGAGCTGTTTGCTCTAGCTGGTGCTAATTTGAACTGGTGCTCCCACAAGGTACTAAGTGGTTCCAGATTTTTTTAATACTGCACACACCAAGTGTTAAGACCCATTCTATGCTGACCAGGCATCTCAGGCCAATTGTGCCCAATCTGGAGGCAGGAAAAATAAAATAATCTACGTTTGTGGCACTAGCGGTAAAAACGTATACTATATACATTTGGACCATTTAGGAGTTAATAAAATTTATATATACAGTTCAACATAAACTGTATAATTTAAGAAAATAAATAAGCAAAAAATTTACCAGGTGGTACTGTAGTGAAAACTGGCAGAGGAGAGTAAGCGGGCTCCTGATCTGCTCGTACAGGAGCAACGCACGTGTAGCCACATCCGTTGTAACAACACTTGTGGTCTCCGTAACAGCCTGCATCATTCTCACAATCGGTCTCACATTGATATGTTCTGCCACTTGTTTTTGGACACTCCCCAGCTTTATTTACTGTAAATGAGACAATACAGTATTTAAAATTATAAGAAGAGTTTTAATATCTACACTGAGGCAGGGTGACCCAAAAAGAAAGAAAGAAAAAAAAAATTTCATCATCATTTAACACTTTCACCATCACTCATACATAATCACTGTCTTTCCAGAGGCACTCAGATATGACAGTTTAGACATCCCTCCAAACTGCCAATATCCTAAACCCCTTCTTTAAAGTGCAGGCATTGTATTTCCCATTTCCAGGACTCAAGTCCAGTTAACTGGTTTCCCTGAATCCTTCACAAAATATTACTCTGCTCACACTCCAACAGGTCGTCAGGTCAGAAAAACCATTCGTTTCCATTCACTCCTATCTAACATGCTCATGCACACTTGCTGGAAGTCCAAGCTCCTTGTCTACAAGACTTCCTTTGGAAATAAATGGTATAAAATACCGACACAATGGAAATATAAACACATATGCAGTATAATGTGATCCTTTATTGACTACGTTTCGCCCACACAGTGAGCTTTTTCAAGTCACAAACAGATCTACCTGGGATGGAAGGGACGTGAGTATTTATAGTCAGGTTCAAAATGCTGAGGTCAGGTGGAGAATGCTGCATCTGATGATGTACCGAGTGGGGTTATAGAGTCTAAAATCTCATTTCCAAGCTACCCAAGATTTTAGACTCTATAACCCCACTCGGTACATCATCAGATGCAGCATTCTCCACCTGACCTCAGCATTCTGAACCTGACTATAAATACTCGCGTCCCTTCCACCCCAGGTAGATCTGTTTGTGACTTGAAAAAGCCCACTGTGTGGGCGAAACGTAGTCAATAAAGGATCACATTATACTGCATATGTGTTTACATTTCCAAGACTTCCTTTACTCCCTCCCTCCAACCTTTATGGGGACGACCCCTACCTCGCCTTCCTTCCCCAATAGATTTATACGCTCTCCAATTCATTCTGTTTTGTTCCATTCTCTAAATGACCAGACCACCTCAACAGCCCCTCTGCATCCCTCTGACTAATACTTGTAGTAACTCCTCACCTCCTCCTAATTTCCCACTACAAATTCTCTGCATAATATTTACACCACACATTGCCCTTAGACACAACATCTCCACTGCTTCTAGCTGCCTCCTCACTGCAGCATTACAACCCATGCTTCACACTCATATAAGAGTGTTGGTACCACTATACTCTCATACATTCCCCTCTTTGCCTCCATGGATAATGTTCTTTGTCTCCACAGATACTTCAATGCACCACTCACCTTTTTTCCTTTATCAATTCTATGGTTTACCTCATCCTTCATAAACCCATCCGCTGACAAGTCAACTCCTAAATATCTGAAAACATTCACTTCTTCCATACTCCCTCCCTCCAATGTGATATCCAATTTTTATTTATCTAAATTGTTTGATACTCTAATCTTATTATAACATATATAATTTGATACAATATAAAACTCAGAAGAAAACCACAAGTTAGCAAATGCATTTCAGACAAACTTATTATGTATTAAAGGTAAACTAATCTTAAGGCTTAAATACTACTTATATCTAGACCTAGCATATAATTTAAGTCAGTACAGTCTGAGTAATTCATTATAAGCATCTGTTCATAAGATGGGCTGCAAATGAAGAATTGGTCAATTACAAATAAATTATATTGTAATCACATCAGTTCAATGGTCGGCATTTATGGAGTTGTTGAATTGATGTGGTGAAATCAAAGCATGAGAATTTACAGCTATTGGATATAACATTTATGTGAGATTTAATAAGTGCTTTTAGTAATATTAGTACAGACATTGGCAGATTGGGAACCTTTGGCATTTTCAAGCAGTAGGATTCAAATTTTTGGGCCTTTTATCTGCAGGGAGTTTTTGAACAGGTTGAGTCGCACACATGGCATATCGAAGAAATACTTGTAATTATGTCTGTGTTCCGTTGCAGCTCGTCAGATAGAATTTAAGCTTGTATGTTAATGTTGGTATCGAGTGTCCAGTAGACATAGCATTTACATTCAGTAAATTTCAACTTTTGAATAAGGGGTGTGAGTGTGTTGCATAGAGCCTGAATGAGTAACTATTCAGAGAACTAATTTTTGGTGAATAACAACAGATTTAAGGTGATTAGCTGTTGTGATCCCCATACATAAATTCCATAGGTAGGTATGGACAGATTAGAGAACAGTACAAAGTGAACAGGGATGTTTGGGGAACATAAGAGTATATTCTTAAGGTAATAGAATGGTAGACAGCAACCATCCAGGGAGGTACTACTGTCCTGCCAAGTGAGTGTGAAATAGAAGCCTGTACTTGTTTTATATGATGGTAGGATTCCTGGTGTCTTTTTACTGTTTCATAAACATGCAAGATTTCAGGCGTGTCTTGATACTTCTACTTACACTTAGGTCACACTACACATGCATGTACAAGCATATATATACACACCTATGGGTTTTCTTCCATTTTCTTAATGGTTCTTGCTCTTCTTTATTTCCTCTTATCTCCATAGGGAGGTGGAACAGAATTCTTCCTCCTTAAGCCATGTGTATCATAAGAGGTGACTAAAATGCCAGGAGCAAAGGACTAGTAACCCCATCTCCTGTATACATTACTAAATTTATAAAGAGAAACTTTCGTTTTTCTTTTTAGGCCACCCTGCCTCGGTGGGATACGGCCACTGCATTAAAAGAAGAAGAACAGTATATTCTGAGAGGCCCCCATACACAGATTCCATAGGTAAGGTATACATAGATTAGAGAATAGTACAAAGCAAACATAGATGTTTGGGGAACATAACAGTATATTCTGAGAGGATGCTCTCTGTTTTGGAATTTTTTTTTTAGAAATGTTCTTGATGTGTGCATCGAATTTTAGGCTGCTCTCCAATTGTATTCCATTTTTTTTTTTTTTTAAGAATAAAATGTTCATTGAAATCTTACCTTTCCTACAGATAGCAGTGTAAGTAGTTTCTCCAGAGCTGTCTCCAGCAGCAATATCTATTGCACACTGAGTTCCATTCCTGCACTGAACTTGATCACATGGGTCATAGCATGAGCATCTATCACAGCCTTCATTATCAACACTTCTCTGTACTCCATATGGACACTGGTGGTAAATGATAAGATACATCATACATTGAACAATAAGTCTGTAGTTAAGCATTTGCATAATTAATGGCTTTCTGCAGAGCCTTATCTTGTATCAAATTATATCTGTACAGTGGACCCCCGCATACCGTCGGCATCACATAACGTACAATCCGCATACCGCTCGCTTTTATCGCAAAAATTTTGCCTCGCATACCGCTCAAAAACCCGCTCACCGCTCTTCGTCCGAGACGCGTCCAATGTGCGCCCTTAGCCAGCCTCACATGTGCCGCCGGTGGCATTGTTTACCAGCCAGCCTCCGTGGTAACATCCAAGCATACAATCGGAACATTTCGTATTATTACAGTGTTTTTGGTGATTTTATCTGCAAAATAAGTGACCATGGGCCCCAAGAAAGCTTCTAGTGCCAACCCTACAGCAATAAGGGTGAGAATTACTATAGAGATGAAGAAAGAGATCATTGATAAGTATGAAAGTGGAGTGCGTGTCGCCGACCTGGCCAGGTTGTACAAGAAACCCAAATCAACCATCGCTACTATTGTGGGCAACAGAAAGGCAATCAAGGAAGCTGTTCTTGCCAAAGGTTTAACTATGTTTTCAAAACAGAGATCGCAAGTGATGGAAGATGTTGAGAGACTCTTATTGGTGTGGATAAATGAAAAACAGCTAGCAGGAGATAGCGTCTCTCAAGCGATCATAAGCGAAAAGGCTAGGAAGTTGCATGAGGATTTAATTAAAAAAATGCCTGCAACTAGTGATGATGTGAGTGAATTTAAGGCCAGCAAAGGTTGGTTTGAGAGATTTAAGAAGCGTAGTGGCATACATAGTGTGATAAGGCATGGTGAGGCTGCCAGTTCGGACCACAAAGCAGCTGAAAAATAAGTGCAGGAATTCAAGGAGTACATAGACAGTGAAGGACTGAAACCTGAACAAGTGTTTAATTGTGATGAAACAGGCCTGTTTTGGAAGAAAATGCCAAGCAGGACCTACATTACTCAGGAGGAAAAGGCACTCCCAGGACATAAGCCTATGAAAGACAGGCTTACTTTGTTGATGTGTTCCAATGCTACTGGTGATTGCAAAGTGAAGCCTTTATTAGTGTATCACTCTGAAACTCCCAGACCGTTCAGGCAAAAGAATGTCCTCAAGGAGAATTTGTGTGTGCTGTGGAGGGCAAACAGTAAGGCATGGGTCACTAGGGACTTTTTCTATGACTGGTTACACCACGCATTTGCCCCCAATGTGAAAGATTACCTAACTGAAAAGAAATTAGAACTTAAGTGCCTCCTGGTGTTAGACAATGCCCCTGGTCATCCTACAGACGTGGCAGAGCGACTTTATGGGGACATGAAATTCATTAAGGTGAAGTTTTTGCCTCCTAATACCACTCCTCTCCTGCAGCCCATGGACCAGCAGGTTATTGCAAACTTCAAAAAACTGTACACAAAAGCTCTGTTGAAAGGTGCTTTGTAGTGACCTCAGAAACTCAACTGACTCTAAGAGAGTTTTGGAGAGAGCACTTTAATATCCTCAATTGTGTAAACCTTATAGGTAAGGCTTGGGAGGGAGTGACTAAGAAGACCTTGAACTCTGCTTGGAAGAAACTGTGGCCAGAATGTGTAGACAAAAGGGATTTTGAAGGGTTTGAGGCTAACCCTGAGAGGATTATGCCAGTTGAGGAATCCATTGTGGCATTGGGAAAGTCCTTGGGGTTGGAGGTTAGTGGGGAGGATGTGGAAGAGTTGGTGGAGGAGGACAATGAAGAACTAACCACTGATGAGCTGATAGATCAACTTCAACAGCAAGAGGCCAGACCTGAGGAAACTGGTTCAGAGGAGGGGAGAGAGAAATTGAAGAAGTTGCCTACTACAAAGATTAAGGAAATCTGTGCAAAGTGGCTTGAAGCGCAAACCTTCATGGATGAAAATCACCCTCACACAGCTATTGCAAGCCGTGTTGGCAACCTGTACACTGACAATGTTGTGAAACACTTTAGGGAAGTCATAAAGGAACGAGAGGTACAGGCCACTATGGACAGATATGTTGTGCGAAAGAAGTCCAGTGACTCTGAAGCTGGTCCTAGTGGCATTAAAAGAAGAAGGGAAGTAACCCCAGAAAAGGACTCGACACCTCAAGTCTTAATGGAAGGGGATTCCCCTTCTAAACACTAACACTCTCTCTCCCCTCCTCCCATCCCATCAATCATCACCAGATCTTCAATAAAAGTAAGTGTCATGTAATTGTGCATGCCTTTTTCAGTTTGTGTGTATTAAAATTAACATTTCATGTGGTAAATTTTTTTTTTTTCATACTTTTGGGTGTCTTGCACGGATTAATTTGATTTCCATTATTTCTTATGGGGAAAATTCATTCGCATACCGATCATTTCGCATAACAATGAGCCCTCTTGCACGGATTAAAGTCGCTATGCGGGGGTCCACTGTATTATAATGAGAGCAAACTCAAAAATGTAATCATTCAGAATGTATAACTACTGTATTTGTGTGGCCCTAAAGAAATAATTTTAGTTTTAATTTAATGTATAACTTGAAAAAAAACCAATAGGTCAGACAATGTAGCTCACTTGCTCTTTGTTTACTGAACTACCATTGCTCATGGACATTTTTCTCCACAGATGATTGGTATATTTATTTTTTAAATAATAATTTTATTGAAAGCTATACCAATTCTCTCAAAATGCATTACCAAAAATTTTTTTAAAACTATTTTGCTTGAGCAAGGAAAAATGTACAGCATATTTAAAGATGAAGAAACTAACAAAACCATGACTAAATGTAAAATAAAAAAATAAATATGTACAGTAGAACCTCAGCTCATGAACTTAATCCGTTCCATGACCTTGTTCATATCCTGATTTATTCGTTTGCTTAGTCAAATTTCCTGATTAAATTAATTGAAAAGCCGTTAATCCATTCCAACAGAATTCCTGATCTCAGAGGCAGGAAAAATGCACTTCAATATGACACTAATAGCAACTCTAGAGCTTATTTATCTATCACAATTAACCCTTTGACTGTTGCAACCCCAAATCCGGAAGTGTCTCCTGGTGTCAAAAAAATTTCGGAATCTTTTCCTGATGGTAATGACACCAAAAGCACGAAATTTGATTGAAACCTCATGGAATTACGCTCCTGTGAAGTTGGCGATCTTGGCAATATATACGCATTGGCGATTTTGCCAACTCTGAGCCCTATTTTCAGCCAATTCCACTGTTCCAGTCGACCAAACTCATAGCTATTTCTTTAGAACTCCATTTTTTCCATCAATTGAGTACAAGAAACCACCCAATTACCGATTTCAACTATGCAATAAAATGGTCAGAAATTGGCAATTTGACCAATTTCATGCAAATTAAAAAAGATGCCAATTTCAAAATAGGGTCCAGAATAAACAATGTAGACATTCTTGGCACTAAAATAACATATCCTCTGTTCATTAGTCACATCTCCAGGCCCCTCTTATATTACTCTTGCTTTCTATTTTGATATTTATTCATACAAAAAATAGAAGATTTACTGTTATGCGGACTATTGCATTATTGTGAAAATGGTATAAATTATATCAGTGCACTAGTGAAAGAATATCAGACTCCCCAGTTGACATGTGGTGTGATTTGCTTACTCTTGAACATTGGTAAAAATCGAAAATTTCTGCTATTTTGAGCTCAATTTCAAGGTCGTTTTCATCGTGAAACTAATCAAAATCATCTCTATTTCTGTAATAGGTTTTCCATCCTATCAAATGAGACCAAGAAAACGAGAATACAACCATAAGTACTATAGGAAAATACACCTCAAAGTCGGTATTTTAATCCAAGAACACTAGGATTTTTTTTCCTCTCTTTATGTACAGGTCTCCCTCAACATTCGCGAGGGTTAGGGGATCAAGAGCCTTACGAATGTTGAAAAACCATGAATGTTTGGTGCCCCAATATATTGTAGGGAAATATATTACAATACTGCTTCCTAAACTTGTTGAACCATGAATAATCATAAAATACATGAAAACGTCATAAATTGTACTAAATATATACATGTTATGCTTTAATAATGTATGTTATTTAATAACATGTTAATAACATGTATGTTAATAACATGTATGTTATTAAATACCACAGACTCCACCACTGCCTCCACCACTGCGAGTCCCTACTACCCTCCCTCCGACCCCTGCAACTGGCAGCCAGCCCTCCCACCACTCAGTGTGGTGAGTGTTTTGTTTGTTCATTATTTGCTATTAAACTACAGAATAAATAATGTAAACCCATTCATTACTGCATATTGGAATGGCTATTAAGAAAGGTATTAGACGGTGACATCATGTGTTTGCTCTTAAACACAGCAAAGAATCGAACATTTCTGCTATTGCTAATAATAACAATAGTAATAATAATAATAATAATAATAATAATAAATAGCATATAATTGAAGAAGGAAATTGTACAAAAATACGAGGGAGTGGTTGACACATCATCAGTGTGACTTTGTTTATGCTGGAGTGAACATTAGTCTCCCTGCTCTTTAAAAACATTTCACAATAATTCAGCGGTTGAGGCAGTGGTATTTAATAACATATATGTTATAAATAATAATATTAATAACATGTATTATTATTAACATGTATGTATTTAATAACATATGTTATAAATAATAATAGTACATATTATTAATAATATGTATTATTATTAACATGTATGTTATTAAATACCATTGCCTCAATCACTGCCTCTACCACTCCAGTCACACTCAATCTACAAGCACCAAACACAATGAATTATTGTGAAATGTTTGGAAGAGCAAGGAGACTAATGTTCACTCCAGCATAAACAAAGCCACACTAACGATGTGTCAACCACTCCCTCGTATTTTTGTACAATTTCCTTCATTAATTATATCATATTATTATTATTATTATTACTATTGTTATTATTAGCTGTAGCAGAAATGTTTAATTCTTTGCAGTGTTCAAGAGTAAACA